GTGTTCAAGAGGCATCTGGATGAGGAGCTGCGTGATATGGTTTAGTGCTTGTGGTGGCAATGGTGATGGGGAGACTGTTGGACTAGATGATCTTATAGGTCCTTTCCAACCTTGTGATTCTATGATTCTATGATTCTGTGATTCACTGTGACTACAGTGCTACAGCTAGCTTAGGATGAGGTGAGTTGTGTCCTAGAAGCACCTACTTCTTCACTGCTTTGACAGGGAATCCGTGAGAGTTATTCAGCTGAGTATTTTGAAGCTTCTGCTGTAGAATGAGTCACATCTCAACAACTTCTCTTTGTCGACTTGTAAAGCCAGCTTTAAGTTACTAACTCATATGTAGACTTTTAAATTGGAGATGTCTGCATTAAGGCATTGACAATTTTTTAACAGTAATATTTTAAAAAATTAAATGTTTTTAACAATATGATTTCTGTTGCCTGTAGAACTGTAGCAGTGACACAAGGAGAAAAGTACAAGTTAAGGTAGATATATTGTGCTGAAATGGCAGTACATCCATGCCTGCACGTACAGAAAAAATGTTTTGAGATCTTGCAGTGATTGTGCTTGGTCATGAAGGTAAATAATTCTGTCAAGCTCTAACCACTATGCAAAATAATTTTTCACATAATTTTGATACTAATCTGCCTTCCTTTTCTTTGTTCGATTTTCTCCTTAATGTCAATCAAGTAAAGAATTTAAAATGTCTTATTTAGTAATGATGCATGTGTGTCCTTGTCTTGTAAAGTCTTGGAGAGCTTCCGTGTTTGGTCTACCTAATGAAAAAGAGAAACTACAGCTACTTCCTTTTTCTTAAAAATGTCTCTTTGGAGAGACATGAGGGAAGGGGAGAGGAAGTTGACCTTTCTTATAGGGATGGAAAGAAAATGATATTGCTAGCCAAAAATTCTCCATTTTATCAGTGTGAACTTGACTGCCACGTCTTCCCTTGATAACTTTCTAGAACCTAGAATACTCTGGATGATCATCTGTTTGGGGAAAGTAGCCCTTTAACCTGATGTACAGTGTTCAAATCAAGATATAACGATATAATCTTATATTCACTGAATAAACTAAGTTGTTTATTTAAATACTGAGTTGTTTACTTAAATACTAGAAATACACTACAACCATGAGAAAAACTGGTGTAAGAAAGAACTCTACACTTCATTAAAGCTTTTTTTTTCTTTTTTTTAATGACACTTAGAAAGTTCTGCATACGAACCAGCTAAAAAAGAAGTTCCTTGGAAATATTTGACGTTGAGATGAATATATGACACTAAACCAGACTGAATCACAAGATGTATTTTAACTACACAAGCCTCCATCTAGGGTTTATTGGAAGTATGCAAATAGGTGTCTCTTTGTCACCACGTGAAACTTCTTGAAGCTGAACACAGTATTTGAAGCTTTTACATCTAATAGCTTTACAATTGGGGTAGTAAATCAAGGGAAAGAGGAGTGGGAGTGATGCTGAAGTCCTAGCAAATAGAAAGGTAACGAGATGGATGTAGGCCATGTACACATAGTACCTATCACGGCTGAATCTGTCCTTCAATCTGTTTTTATTTACCAAGAATTGCAGTCTTGTCATTGCTCTGCACAGTTATTAGCCTACAGTATGTTTCTTGGCAACTACATGTAGAAGATATACAGATAAATAGATTTATCTTCTTCCTTCACGAGATTCATTTTATTTCAGACTTTCCTCTGAACTTCATATTGTCAGATTTCTTGATCTTCTACTCTGTGAGCATGGAAGATCCTGTTTGGGGTACGCAATGAGTTTCTAACTAAGGCAGGACAAGGAGGGGCCAAGACATTAGTCTGCTGTTGGGGAAAGAGAGGAGAGAGAAAGAAGACAGCCCTCTGCACCTGGTGCTGCACTGGCCATAAACCAGCCATGCTACTCCAGTGAGCTCATTAAATCTGGGAAGGGAGATAGGAGACGTGTGTAAGTCTCACACTTAGCATGCTCCATCTTAGTGTTGTCCATAAAATTTAGGCTCCTAAAGCCTTCTCTTCTGATTAAATTCTCTTGATTGACTAGCAATCTCTACTTAGAAAAATGTGAGAATGTACATTTCCTCTTCTGAGACAAACAAATCCCAAAGTGCTGGCACACATTCATTGTGCTGGCACAAATTCATGGTACTGTCCTATTTGCTGCACTTTCTGTGTTGAGTTGATATGAGAACTGTTTGTGGTTAACATGTTCAAACACGTGTCAAGATTTGTCATACATTCAGGAAGATATAGATTTTCCTATCACTGCTTGCATTGTTTTGTTCTTGTGACTTTCTGAACTCTTTATAGATTATGGTGAAAATTTTAAGCCTTCACAGAAGACTGCAGGTGATTGGTGGGCAGAGATTGATAGTTGGGAAGGACATGTGAAAGAGTTGAAGGAATACTGGTGTGATTTCTGACCAAGTGTTTTGAGTCCTTTTCTTCTCTTCTGCCTTTCCTTGCAAAATTACTGGGACCAAAGGTGGAGCCTGGCTCTGTAGCCTAATGAGTGGGAGAAAAGATCTCTGAAATCATCAGATGAAATTTTATGTAATATGTGCAACAAAGTTCAGTCGTTCTTGCTCCCAAAAGAGTGACCTTCCTGGTAGCCATACAATCTAAGTGCTGAGTAAGGAGCCTATATACCCTGATACCCATAGTAGCCAGTGGCTAACTTCTGAGGTACCTTCTTTGCTGGGTAGGTATCTAAAGTACTACATGCCAAAAGTAGATGATCACAGAAATGATATGAATACTACTCTTCTTATGTATTCACTGGAGTTTTATCTTAGTTTCCAGTTGATGTGCCCAAGTTTTAGTCATGGATTTACGGTCTTCTGGAACTGTTTCACTAGAGTTGAGGAGAGAACTGAGGTCATGAAGAAGCTTGTGTTCCAGTGCCCTGTCATTCCCAGAGTCCTTTGAGAACCTTTCTTTAAATCCAGACATGTTTTGTTAAAGGCAGCCTTCACTAAGATGCCATAGATGATGGCCTTCCTCTTGTCAAATCTCATTTAACTTCTTCATAGCATGAAAAGATAAGGGGTTAAAGGCAGTCTAAGTTTTTTCTTTCTCATCTTAGAACTATGGCCTGTGTTTGGTGTTACATCCAACCCCATGAGAAGTCATAAAATATGATAGAATAAAAAGAAAATCAGTATTTCCCACAGCAGAACTGAAATTATTATTCTAAAAGTTTCATTTTCTCACTAGATTATTAATAACAACCTTGTAAATAATCTGAAAAAGTTTTCTCTTCCAAGAAATATTATTTTTTTCTAAACTGTCTCCCTTTCTACTTGCAGCAATGAAATGCTTTCTGTATGTTTATACAAATGTCAGTGGATAAGATAAGAATCCTTAGATAGATAAATTGCCCAGACATGAAGTTTCTACGTTGTTTTTAATGTAATGCAATTTAATGCACTAATTTGATATATACCGTTTATGTATTTTGGATGGTCCTTATCTCTTTCTGTTCATTTCACTCTGCTGTATACCATAATTCTTGAGGAACAGCAGATGTTAAATAGTCATAACTACAGAAAAGTAGCATAAAGCAGAATGGCAGAACTTGAGGAAGAACTTGACCTTTCTGAGTACCACTTTGGCCTTCAGAGTTTTGCAATGGGATTAAAAGTGATGCTTGAGTGATGACAGTAGATCATCTGCAATGAAATCAAGTCCCAAGGCAAGCGTGAGCATGAGCACAGTAATGTTTTTTTGTTTTATTTTTTTTAATAGGTAGGAGAAGGGCACCACAAAGGCTGATTTTCTTCAATGTCAGTTTTTAATGAACTGTTCTTTTTATTTTATTTTTTCCCTAGAAGGTAGACTGGAAAAAGTCTGTGCATACTTTTTGGTTAAACTTTAAATCAGCTATTTTACTTTTGTCTTTACTCAAATGGTACTCTGGGCTTCATCAGAAGAGGGGTGCCCAGCAGGGACAGGGAGGTGATTGTTCCTCTTTACTCTGCCCTCGTGAGGCCCCATCTGGAGTTCTGTGTCCAGGTCTGAAGCCTCCAATACAAGAAAGACAGGGAGCTGTGGAGAGGGTCCAGAGAAGGGCCACAAAGATGATCAGGGGACTGGAGCACCTCCCTACGAAGACAGGCTGAGGGAGCTGGGCTTGTTCAGCCTGGAGAAAAGAAGGCTGCAGGGTGACCTCATTGCAGCCTTTCAGTACCTAAAGGGAGCCTACAAACAGGAGGGGAATCAATTCTTTGAAAGGGTTGATAACTGCAGGACAAGGGGAAATGGTTTTAAGTTGAGGGAGGGGAGATTTAGGTTGGATGTTAGGGGGAGGTTCATTACTATGAGAGTGGTGAGGTGCAACATCCCTGGAGGTGTTCAATGCCAGGTTGGATTGGGCCCTGGGCAGCCTGGTCTAGCATTAAATGTGGAGGTTTTTGGCCCTGCATGTGGCAAGGGATTGGCGATTCATGGTCCTTGAGGTCCCTTCCAACCCTGGCCATTCTGTGATTTTCTGAAAGGCAGACTTGGAAATGCTGACAGAAACTATGAGGGACTTGTTTTTTGTTAAGGAATGTTTACAGTGCTTCAGCATTCTCAAGGGCAGCCTTTGTCTTCTCAGGTCAGCATGCAGCATATTCTGACCAGTTCCTTTACTAGAAATCAAAGTTTTATTTGAATAAAATAAAACTGGTTTCAGGTAGAAGAAATCTTTCTCAACCTGATTGAGAAACAGTCACTTGGTTTGGATTGAAGTTCTGAAAAAAAAAAAAAAAAAAAAAGAGCAACTTTCTGAGTCATAGGCAGTGCAGTACACAGATTTTGAAATGTAACAGTCTGTAGTTGTGAGGAAGTTGAAGGTAAAGAAATCCCCTATTCCTGGTTCTTGACCTAAGACTCTGGGTGAAAACATTAAAATGTACGTTTAAAATAGAAAGGCCATCTGCAGCTAAGTACAAAGTACATTTGCTGTATTTAAAGTCTTTATTTTTTTAACATTTCATTTTGACTTTTAGATTTCTGGGATTTGCTACAATAGCAGTATATTAAAAGTTCATCGAATTCTTTGTGTACCCAGCTGGGTAGCAAAGATATTTTCCTGGACTCTTGAACCAATCTTCTCGTCTGCGGAACCAACGAATGAAATCCGAGTGGGAATGGGAGCAACAGTCGACATCCAGAGGCAGCAGAGAATGGAGCTCTTGGATCGACAAATCATGATGTCTCAGGTTGCCCAAATGAGGAGACAAAGGCAGCAGCAGGTACTGATGCATGCTCCATAAAGATTATGTTTATGGGAAACATATGTTTTCAGTTTGTATATTTTATGGTTCCTGCTTGATATATTCTTCTCAATTGGTTTTTCATACACCGGCTGTTGGCCATTCAGGTGTTTCTGTAACTTTAATGTTAAAATCGTTTCGCAAGATAGAAGCAGAGCATCAGACAGTCCTGTAAGGATATCAATACGTCTGGCATTTCTTTCTCCAAAAGTCAGCCTGAAAGGTAAAGTGCCTGCCTTTCCTCTTACTAAAGACAGTAAGCTGTTGGTGAAAGTTAGCAAGTTCTGTCTGTTCTGAGTATTTGTATTGTTTGCATCCTTTTCGGAGAAAATTATCTACACAATAACTTTATTTGCAAATGTACTTTAAATAAGGCTTGCATCTTTGAGAAAGTTCTGAAATTCAATCATCTAACTCCCTTACAGAGGTCAACCACAGGAACTTTCTCTTTGCTGCATTTAGTGTTCATTTTATTTCCTTACTGAATGGAATAGCAGAGCCCTTTGTTTTCTCTGTTTTAGTCAAGGCAGTGAAAGACGTTCACATGTTTTCTGTTGTACTGCAGAACAAGGCAGACAGTGTCTCAATTAACTTCTTCCTATGCCTTAAAAATAGGTGTTGCTGCTCTATCAAACTTAGCAGATATGTGCCTTAGATTTCTCTATGTGAGCATACATTGTCCATTATTTTGTTACAGTCTGACAATTTGTGATCTTTATTGATTTTTCTCCGACTGAAATGCAGCTCTGTACTGATATATGAATTCTTAGTACGTTTATGGTAGCTTGTAGATACACCTATGTTACCATTAATATGTTGGCAGAATTAGATGTAGGATAGCATAAAGCTTAGGCTCTGGCCAACAACTAGAGTATATATCTTTGTTTCCCTGGAATTTGGTTTTCTTCCATTTCTTAACATTTTGATCTGAATAAATTGTTCCTCGGGTGGAAAGATTCTAATCTCTATCCCCATTACAACATTTACCAGTTTTAATGTAAGAAATGAACTAGAAATAATTCAACATCCGTGTTCTGATAGAAGGCACTTTGAAGGTGTCTTTTGGGCCACAAGCTGTTGTGAAGATTCAGCTAAGTTTCTTCAAATGAGAAGAGAAAGAAATTGCCAATTATGAAAGACAATCTTTATAATATATTTTGAACTGCAAGAAGCATTAAATAAGTTCAGAATTATAAATGTTAAGAGTTGATAATGTTTTCTTCTTATCCTTCTCCTTTTCCTGGGATTACAAACAATGAAATTGGCAAAATGTCTTTTCACTATTGACTTCAAATACAGGTTTTTTATAAAATATGGGGGAGTTTAAGTAAAATAAATGAGTGTTGTTTGAGCAGCGGTGACATGGTTTACCTTAAAAGTTGCTGAAACTCTTTCGAATCGCCTACATTGACTGGTCTTTAACTTTAGAGCGGCATTTTGTGATCTGATAGTGCTGAATTGTGAAACCGGTGAGCAGAGGGCAAAGGATTCGATGTGTGAACGTTTCAGAAAGGTTCTTCAGAAAAGGTGTGTTAGGAAAGCATTTACTGGGCTTTGTTTATGACTCACAAAATTTACTGGATATCAGCAAAATCATGAATAGTGCCCTTCACAAAAGCTGAGATGCAATGGTACAAAAGGACAAACAGGATAATTTCAGTCTCAGTGTTCAAAACTTGAAAACAGTTTTCCAGATTGTTGTAACTGTGCAATTCTTTTGCTTTTAGAAGCTTACAAAGGTATAATTTGAAGGCAGTGGAGTTGAACGCATCGCACTGCAGATGGAATTTAGATGGTAAATGCTACCTCTGGGGCTGAAGCTGGTAAAGAACACCAGTCAGTGTCACTGGGAGGTTTTTTGTGAAACTAACAGTAATAAAAGCTGTGAAGTATATCAATCAAGTTGTCAAATACAAGTTAGAGTTACATTGCAAGAGAATACTGTGCAGATTTTTGGCATCCCAATATGCTGTCCATAGATGAGATAAATGAATGTTTTCTCTCCTGCTTTCCATGTTGTTTGCCAAGGAAAGGAAACTTTAACTTTCCTCTGGACGTCATTGTGCAACTATTTTCTTGTTATCCCTTGGGGAGGCATTCTGTTTGTTCCTCCTTTTCCTTTACTCTACAATTCTTCTGTTTGGGAAGAGGCAGTGCACTTTCCCTGTGTACTGTTAGCATATGGAAACACAGGAACGCAATGTGTGGTTTTAACAGTGCTGCATTGTCCTGCAGAATGTGGCAAACTGTCCTCTGGCTGTAAAGAAGCCCCTTTCTTAAATGGACCCTTTTTGTACTAAGCTCATTCTTCAGGTTTTACAAGAAATTCTGAAGAATGTGAGCCTGATGTACAAAAAAAAAGAAAGCTTAAAAACAACAGGGAAAAAATAGGGGAAAAAAACTTTCTTAAGTTGTTTAAACTATATCTCTAAGATACTAAAATATAGAGGGTTTTTGGTTTTTTTTTTCTGTTTACATTTACAGAGTTCTTTTATTTGAAACGGAATTAATTTTGGGTGTTTTCTATGGGAAGAAAAAAAACCAAAACCAAAAAGAACACAGAATTTCCTTGCTGGCAGTTCTTAGAGCTTTGCCTTTCCCAGTCTTTCTCTCCCAGAAATGTTGCCTGCAGGATGCTGAAGCAGAGAGGTGTGCTTGTGGCTGCTGGGCTGCCAGCCACTCACAGCTTCCCGGAGCAGGTTGAGTGAGGGACACAGCCCGAGCATAAGCCACCAGCTTCATTACTTGATGTACATGGTTTTGATTTAGCCCTGAGATGTGCAGTGCTGCTGTGTCTGAACGTGTTGTTAGAAACTGAAAAATCACCTTACGTTGCTAGTTTCGCAGGGGAGTGTGGTTACACGGTGTCTGATTTTTGTCTTGCTTTCTAGTTGCTATGGATACAATCCTTAACCAGATGGTGATGTGCATGTTGAAAATTTTTTGTCCTTTTTTCCCTTCCACTGATAATCCTGACAAATTCTGAACCTGTCAGTTCAGAATTACTGAACATCACCTCCATCACCTTTTGAGGCAGTGAAATAACACGTGTGCCACATGTATTCATGCCCTCAAAAAATATCAGCTTGCTATTTTTTCCTTTTTAAACCCCAGTTTCTTAATTCTTTTCTTTCTCTCTTTTTTGTCAGTCCTCTTTTCTCATTTTAGTAATGTATCCTCTTCTTTTCCCTTTTTTCTATAAATCTGATCTCTTTTTTTCCTTTGTATCATTTTCACGTTTTCATTCCCCACTATGTCATTTTCCTCCCAGATTTTCATCTCTTCCCCTTCATTTCTATTATTTCCCATACTTTGTGTTTCCTCCTCTACGTCCTTCTCTGCTCTGGAGAAAATTCTTTCCCATCACATCTTACCCATCAGTCAGCATTTGCAATGCATCCTGAAGGCGTCGATGCAACTTTCCTTTCTCTCGCTCCAAACAGGAGATAGTTTATATCTTCAGGCACTATTTTATTCTTTTTATACTGTAATATCAATGGGTCTTTTTGGTCTTTCTCTTCTGACTTTTGCATTTCTGGATCTGTTTCATTTCCCAGCTCTTTTCTGAAGTTTGTCTTTCTGTAACCCAAATGAAAGCCCTGGTGAGAAAGGGGAAGAAATTGCTGCATGTGTGCACTGGGGTGCTAGCAGGGAGCCAGCCTGACTTTCACTTCCCATTGACAAGCTTAGAGGGAGGCTGCAGATAACCAAACTGTAAATAGATGAGGGAAGAGTGCGTGCGAGGTGTTGCTGGCAGCACTGATGTCACTGGGTTGTAGGAAGGTTGTGGAAGACTGCAGAAAAGGTGGTCAGCATCTTCTGTTGGCTATTAGGTACCAGTTCTCCTTTTAGTGCTCATTCCTGTGCCCATTCTGTATGTGGGGTTGGAGAATGAACCTTGGTCCATCCATCTTAAAAAAATGCTCTCAGTAGCCTTCATTCACACTGAGCATGTTGAAGACACTGTTGCCTGCCTCCTGGTTTCTCTTAACTTTTTGGTTCAAAAAAGAGTATCACGGAGGTGCTCAAGTGTCTCTGATAAGCCTACAGCAATATATGAAAATCTTTTCTACTATTTCCTCTGCTTTTAAGCTTTTTTTTGTGGGGTGGGTGTTGTTCTCCCTCCTGTCTTTGTTTTTCTGTTCCAGCTCCTGGTACTTTTTAGTGAGGCCAGACCCCCTTTGATTCATATCTCTGATTCCCCTGCTTGCAGAGACCAGACTTCTTCTGTAACAATGCTGCTTCCCCTAATTGTTCATTCACTGGATGTCTTCCTCCTGGGACACTGGAGAGATGCTCTGTGGGGAGATGCATTGAGTGTCTTTATTGTTACTGGGCGTCTCATATCCTGAGAAATTTGCAACTTACTTATTTTGTGAGCTAAGGACTGAGGCTAGATTACCAATTTACCTTTCAGTTTTATTTAAGTAGTAAACTTCTGACCTTGGAAAGCAGAATTTAATGGAGCAGTGACTTTCCTAAGACAAGAATTCCTCTTCAGGAATGTTGTCCTTGCTCATGATGCTAGAAACAAATCCCTCAGTGAATACCGACAGTCTATTTCTGCCGTCCCGAGGAAGAACCACATCTGAACATACTTCATTTTCACACTGATGCAGAGAGGTGCTACTTTAGCAAAGTCTTCTGAAATAGCTTGAGAAGCTTGAGTACCAACTATAAATGCTTCAAGAGGCTTCTTGGGTCCTGAGATGTCTTGCAACCTTTACACATTGCCAGCTCCCTGGAAATTCTCACAGAACGTTAGATGGAAGGAGTTTGTTCATACTGACCCATGGATGTATCTATCATAGTTAGAGAAGAATGTACCAGACAACTTTACCTGAATAAATGAGGGAGGTTTTCACCCAGTGCGATGCAAAATCCTTTTCTATAATTAGGCTTTCACTCCAATGTGTGTTACCTATAGGAACTCTGGGATTTTGTGGCCTAATTGAATAGAAAGTGCTATTTACAACGTT